TGACACAATGCAGCAGCTGAGCTCATGACGAAAGCTCGGCTGAGCTCTCCAACACTCCCTCCCTTCACCATCGACGTGTAGAGGCAGCTGAGCTCATTAGGAATGCTCGGCTGAGCTCCAAATCTCCCTCCACCACTGACATGCAGAGGCAGCTGAGCTCATTAGGAATGCTCGGCTGAGTTCCAACATTCCCTCCCTTCACCACTGACGCACAGCGGCGGCTGAGCTCATTATGAATGCTCGGCTGAGTTCCAACACTCCCTGCCCCCTCCCCACCACCGACACACAGCAGCAGCAGTGCGTACCGTCTGCAAGACGCATCGCAGCCACTCGCCGAGGCTCCTCCGAAACTTCCAGACCCGCCACCCTCTACCCCACTGGAAGGGCGGGCGGGGGTGGGAGGGCAGCAGACGCAGAGTGGAGCACTAACCCCTCTGAGACCCACCCCCACAGTCCATCCCGACTGGGAATGATATGGGGCTGTTCCTCCAGTGTCACTGGGCTCAGAATTTCCTGGAACCCCCTCTGTTAAGATGATCATATAAGATGATCAGAGGATTAGATAGGGTGGACAGCGAGAGCCTTTTTCCTCGGATGGTGATGGCTAGCACGAGGGGACATAGCTTTAAATTGAAGGGTGATAGATATAGGACAGATGCCAGAGGTAGGTTCTTTACTCGGAGAGTAGTAAGGGCGTGGAATGCCCTGCCTGCAAAAGTAGTAGACTCGCCAACTTTAAGGGCATTTAAATGGTCATTGGATAAACATATGGATGATAATGGAATAGTTTAGGTTAGATGGGCTTTAGATTGGTTTCACAGGTTGGCGCAACATCGAGGGCCGAAGGGCCTGTACTGCGCTGTAATGTTCTATGTTCTATGTTAAAGGCGGGGGGCACCGTTCCCCTACGCCACACAGGGAGGGGAGGGCTACAGCGGATATTACAATGAACCGACAATAACGGTCTTATCCCTTTGATTGAAACGCAGCAATGCAGCCAAATTGAGGGGCCTGGTTCTGAAGGTTTTCTCAAGGGAGAGGGAAGAGGAACGTTTCTCTTCCTCACCCCCAGGAGGAAATAAACGTGAATAAATGCAACAGTGAACGCCTGCACAAACACAGGTTAAAAAAAAAAATGTGTCTGGTACAGACTGGGGAAAGAGAGACCGCACCGTTTTTAAAACCCTTCAGATTTTATCCTGAGCGTTTAAATGCTAATTTGAGTCTGCAACATCCAGAGATATCTTTACAACCCACTGCCGCTCCCCCCAAGTGAATGGTTGCATTTTTAAAATGTTCGTTCCCGCTGTTTGTGGGGCGGAAACAGGAGGAGAGAGAGAGAAAGAGCGAGGCTTCCAATCTTGCTGTCCCCGATCTCTACTTTCCGGCTCCCTGCGGTTGAAGTACCGTTCGCCAGTGCATTCCCAGGTGTGGCCTCAGTGTCTCTGAGCTGACCGCTCTGCTGAGGAAGGATGTTGGGAAAGGGTTCGGAAAAGGATGTTGGAGGGTTTGAGCTACAGGGAGAGGCTGGGGCTATTTTCCCCGGAGCGTCGGACGCTGAGGGGGTGACCTTATAAAGGTTTATAAACCCATGAGGGGCATGGATGGGGTGAATAGCCAAGGTCTTCTGCCCTCAGGGTGGGGGAGTCCAAAACAAGAGGGGCATAGGTTGAAGGTGAGAGGGGGGAAGAGACGTGAGGGGCAACTTTTTCACGCAGAGGGTGGTGCGTGTATGGAACAAGCTGCCAGAGGAAGTGGGTGGGGGCTGGTACAGTTACAACTTCATGCTGTGGGGCAGATGTCAGGGCTATGGCACACAGGGGCAGGAGGAAACTGAGAGGGGTGATCGAGTGAGGTTTTTGTTTGTTCGCGGTGGAGTAGGTGCAGACAGGGAGAGGTGACAGAAAATATTCAGGACCCAGTGATTGTGTGAAGCAACTCTACAAACGATCTGGACTGGCTGGAATCTACAAAGGCACCGGGCTCACCTTACTGAGGGGTAGGGTAATCAGTTGGAGGGTCGGTGCTGAGGGAGTGGGCGCTGTCAGAGGGTCGGTGCTGAGGGAGCGGGCACTGTCGGAGGGTCGGTGCTGAGGGAGCGGGCGCTGTCGGAGGGTCGGTGCTGAGGGAGCGGGC